CCAACAAACACATGAAAGGCTGCTCCAAAGCAATTGTCACCAAGGAAGCACCCGCCATTAAATGGTGAGTTGGCACTGCATATTTACCAGGATGGGTCTACACAGGAAAATGGAAAATAAGTGTTGCCAAGGATGTAGAGAAATCAGAATCCTTGAATTTTGTTGATGGTATCGTAAAATAGAGCAGTTACTGTGGAACAGTTTTTCAAGGACTAATCATAGAATTACGGCATGGCCCAGCAACTTGGCCATCATATATCTACCCCATAGAGCTGACACTGGCACTTTAAGTACATGTATGTAGATGCTCATCGCAAAGCTCTTCATAATGGCCAGTGATCCAGGTGTGCTATGCCCATACATTGGAGGACTTCAGTTATACAAAAGAATGAAGCACAGGCCATGCTACAACATGATGAACCTTGAATACATTGTAGTAACTAAAAAGAAGCCAGGAGAAGAGCTCTGTTGCCTGGGCCCACGAATATGAGATAACAACACGGGTAAATCCATAGAAAATGAAGGTGTTGCCAGGGCTGCTGGGAGCAATGGGTGGGGACCAACCAATGAGGGAGCACAGAGCTCCCGTACAGGGTAATGAAAATGTTTTAGAGCCAGATAGTGTGGTGCTCACACACTGTTGTGAGTGTGCCAACTGCTACTCAGAGTTTCATTTTAAAACGACTAATCTAATGTCTACATGTCACCTCAGTTCACCTGGAATAGACTAACTACATTATCCCATGTCAAGTAGCCCATCAGCCTTAACTCTTTAGCATATATAGACATTCACATGTCCTGTGGCAAATAGCAAGTTAGGCAAATACAGCCATTAGCCAATTCTTTGGAGTGTTTAACATGTCCAGGGATCCATGATTGACAGGGTCTCCAGACTCTGGGGACTCTCTGCCTCCAAGAATTAACAAAGTACAGACAGAATATGGAGGCTCTATGGATTGGATAGACACTTGGTAAATAGGAGCCTTGCATGTGGGCAAGCCCAGGGATTAATTGTCTTTTCACACAGTGAGAGTCAGAGGGGAGGTACCAGACTTCCATGCGTGTTCAGGCAGGGTGACATCGTCTTTCTCTCAGTTCAGGTACATTTCAGTCATGCATGCTGGCACGGATAGTTCAGGTAAGAGCACGCTTCTGAAAGCTCTCTGTGCAGATATGTCCCTTTCTTCTTCTGGGGTGTGCAAGGAACACATCAGCCCATGGCCTGCGTGACCTCTGCAGATGACTCTCAGCTCAGAACAATCCTTTGATGGCCTCAGGTTCTTGTCCAAGTTTCTCAAGAAGAAGCTTTTAGGTGTACACATCACTTACCCCACCGCATCCTTGAGTTGCTGCAAGAAAACAGTCTTTTTTTCTCTCAAAAGGGAAAACTAGGCACACAGACAGGTGACATGGTTTCCCTGGGATTACGTCACTGGGGCGTGAGTCACAGAGCAGCTCTGCCTGCCTGGTGTTGCTCTCCTCAGCTGTGTACACGTGTAGATAGTTTGCTTACAGAATCGTTTAGGTCACTGAGGCCCGTGGAGTCAACAGTGTCTGTATTCCTGGCCTTTCCTTCCCAGTCTTAGAGCGAAACATAGAAAGATAAGCTTAGCAATATGTGAATCATTGGATTGCCCAAGGTTTTCCTTTTCTTATCTGGAGGAGAGTTGGTGCTGAGGATGGAACTTAGGACCCTGTGCATTCTATGTTATTTTGTAAGTAAACTTCACAATCAAGCCTGCCACCTTCTCTTCTTTCTGACACTTGCCCACATCAAGGCTAGGTCACCTTAACCAACCCCACCTGAGAAGCCCGTGATCCATGCATGGAGGTCTGATATTTGCACTGCATCTTGCCCGAGAATATACTTTTTAAGGATTTATTTATTTTCATTTTATGTGCATTGGTGTTTTGCCAGCATGTGTGTCTGTCTGAGTGCTGGGAATTGAACCCAGATCCTCTGGAAAGAGCAGCCAGTGCTCTTAACCACTGAGATGTCTCTCCAGGCCCTGGGGATGGTTTTGGCTTTGAGGGTATGGGTAAGTTCTTTCAACTCCTAATTCGAAGTCATATTGCATCTGTATCCAGGAAGGGGGTGGGTGATGCAACTTCGTGATGCACCTCTTGCCTTCTGCTGTTTAGTTAGTCTGGATCTCAGGCCGTGGGAAGATGCTTTCCACATTTAGTGTACTTCTTTCCCCATTAATTTAGTGCATGCTAGAAAGTCCCTCACAGACACCTGGAGGTTTGTCTTCCTAGGTGATTCTAGGTCCTGTCAAGTGGACAATTAATATTTAAAGTCTCTTGTGTCTTTTGAAAGTGGAAAGGAAGGGAGGAGAAGAGATGTGACCTCTACCTCTCCTTCTCTGTCTTTGACTCCCGGTTACCATCTGGATTGTCCTTTCAGTTGCTATGACAACACTCGGACCATGAGCAACTTGGGAGAAGGAAAGTCTCCATTTCGCTTGTACTTCTGGGTCACAGCCCGTCGGTGAAGGAAGTTAGACCAGAAGCTCAAGCAGGACCTTGATGTGTAAACATTGAGGGTCGCTGATTGCTGCTCACTCACAGGCTTATCCTTGGCAGGTCTTATTTAGCCCAGGCTTATTTGCCTAGGCACTGGTGCCACCCACGGTGGGCTTGACCCTCATACATCAATTGATAATCAAGCCAATCTGATCTGGACAGTCCCTCTAAGGAAACTCCCTTCTCTGGTGACCCCAGGCAAGTTGACATTCTTAGTCCTTCCTTCCTTCTCGTTCTCCACCTGTCCCCAGCAGTTTGGTCTTCAGGTCCATACCTCACCTCATTGAGATGACTAGCTGTCTCCATGTGGCCCGAATTCAGTGTGTACTCAGCTCTCCTTATCTGACTTAATAACAGTTTGTCCTATGGACAAATTCTCTCTTCAAACTCTTGGTACAAGGCTTGCATGACATTAAGCCTCCCTCATTCCCCCCACCCCCCAACATAGATCTTTCTGTTCATTTCCCTGTTTTGTTCTTTAAACAGTATCTCTGGGCCACCTCATAAATTCCTGTAGCTTCTTTTATTACCTGTGTGTGGCTGACCCCAAAATTTATCCTGCATCTTGATTACTGTTGTACATTTTCCATGGTTGGCATTGAACCTTGGTTAAGAGAATGAATGGATTTATAGATATTTATCTAGCATGAATAGTCATCTCGCTACAGATTTTTATTATTAGTTACTCGTGGTAGTTTGAGAAATATTCCCCTGTAGGCTCTGTGTTTGAATATTTGCTTTCCAGTAGTTGGTGCTGTTTGGGAAGGTTTAAGTGGTGTGGCCTCACCAGACAGTACATCACACCAAGAGGAGGCTTTGAGATTCTGTACCCTCACGCTCCTTACAGTTCATCTCTCTTCCTGCTCCTTCCACCATGCCTGCTGCCTGTTACCATGGCTCCCTTCCCATGGTGGACTCTTATCCTCCTGGAAACATAAGCCTTATAAGCTCCTCCATAAATTGCTTTTGGCTATGGTGTGTTATCAGAGCAACAGAAGAGTAACTAATGTATCGCCCTTCAGGAGAATACTAACTATTCTACTAACAGAGGCACTGTTGGTCTCTTTCAAGGACAGTGTGCCTGGTAGAGGGCAGGGACACATTTGGTGTGAGCACCTGAAAAGGTAGATCACTTAGGAAAACCGTGGCTCAAGTCAACAGTCCCTCGTGAGGCCTGGCTTTCTTGGTTTACAAGCTTGTCCCTCTCCTATGGTACACCATATGGCTACCACCGAGGACAACGGTCTTTGGAATGGTCCCCTTCACCCTGGCTCTGCTAATGTTGCTCCTACTTGCGGAAGTTAATTCTTGTGGGGAATCTGCCTGTTCAAATGAATTTTCTCCCTCACCTCTCCTCCCGACCCCTCGCCTCCCCATTTTATCACACTGGGAAGAGGAAGAAATTAACCATAAAGTTTGGCTCACTGGGGCTGGTCTCAGTGGCTGGAAATGCCGGGGTCTCTGTGGCAGTCTGCCTCCTGAGAAGAGCCCCGATTCTTTTCTGTCTCCTTTCCTTCTGTCTGGGGTCACAGTGCTGCCCCCGTCACGGTGACCCAGTGAAAGAAGCCAGTGTACCACATTGTGCAGTTTAAGAGTTAGCGAGGTAAGTTGACTCTGCTTAGGGTGGAGGGCGTGGCACAGGGGGTGGGGGGGAACCCACCCAGAAGAAAGCTTGAACTAAGATTGGTGTCTTTCCTCCACTACATACCTACCGTAGTTACAGTATTCCTTCTGATAGGAACGTCTTCTCTCCCCAGCTCTGACTCTCTGGACTTCCTTCTCTCAAGAGTCTGACTTTCTACCAGCCTCCTCTGCCCTAAGCTCCAGGGCCGTTGAAGACATCCTGAGCACTTTGCTACTCCACTGGAGTGCGCTCAGTGGTGCACAGGGACCTCATAGCACCCAGGGCGGGCATTCCTCCTGCCATGGCGTCTGCCGCCCTGCTTCTCCTTTAATTGCACTTACTCTTTTATGGAGTGACAGCAGCTAAATTTATTTATCAGGATGCTCTCATGTTCCCTCTTAAAGAGCATCTAGATTAATAAACATCAAGCATAGAAACCTAATCTGAATTTGTATTTTTATTGAGAGCACTCTAATTAAACACAGGCTTAAAAAAAAAAAATCAAGCAGACCCTATGTGTCTTGCAACATCTGACCAGTCTCCCATCCCAGGAAGCCAGGTCCTCACTGCCTTCATTTCCAAGTTCAGGGCCATCTAGGTAGATGGAGATTAAAATGGCCTTGCCATGAATATGCATAAGCCTATAAAATACATATATGAATTGGTTAAAAAGCAATAAAATCTCTTTCTGTTTCTGGAATGCTTAGCCGGGCTATTAAGATGTGAACATATTGTCATATTGCAGGAGCTGCAGTTTTGCTACTTGATACGTTTAATTATTTTCAAGGTCATTTCCTTTTACAAAAATCAAGGCAAGCTGGAAAATGTCAAGCAGCCTGGACGTGTGGAATGAAGTCCTGTTTTTATTGTCATTTTTATCGTCACATAGAGTTGCGGTTTCAAGTCTCCCAGTTACAGCCAGTCATCAGACACAAAAGTCACGGTAGTTTGCAATGTTAGGAACGTGACATCCTTTATCTTTCCAAACACTAAATGTTCTGAGGATCTTTTCAAAAGGAGTAATTGCCAAAAATAATTGATGTATTCTAGGAGTATGACTATTTACAACTTTATGTAATGCTACTGATGAAAGTGACTGTGTAATAGATAGCTACAATAGATGAATATAATTGAGACATACGGCTGAAGAGGATTATGTACTTAGCCCCTGGGCCACTTAGGATATGTGTTAAGTAAGCCGGCAGTACACTGGCATTCAGCTGAAAATAGTTTTTCTGTACACAAAGCAAATCTCTAGCAAGGCAGCACTTTCTGAGCTGCTCACTAGGCAGGAACACGGTGTAGTTCCTACTTGCTGTGAGTATCTTCCTTGTGAGTAATCCTTATACATCTGGACAGCATCACACCTTATTGTGCTTGAAGGTTTTAGATGATTCTTAGCTATGTATCAAAAAGAGATCTAATCTACTCTATCTACTGTCTCACTCCTGTAATCCCAGTACTTAGGAGGCTGAGGCAGGAGGATTATTGCAAGTTCAGGTCAGCCGCCACCACCGCCGCCGCCGCCACCACCACCATCACCACCACCACCACCACCAGCAACAACAACAACAACAACAACCAAGGATAGACCTCAGGTTTCAGAATTTTGCCTCCACCAGCTATAAGGAAATTCTAGTTATTCTGTGTAGTCCCCCCAGATCCACGACCTCTTTTATTGGGAAATTTGGATTCAGAGGCAAGACAAACACCATCTCTAGATCCTTTTAATTAGTAGGTAACAATTTAAAACAACCCCACAATGCACATACCCATCCTGTGAGTTTTATTAGAATTGCTTTGAGTGTCAGTAGAAAGTTTGGATCAGTTATCCGCAGCCCTCTGAAATCCTTCTCTGTGTGGTTCCAGCCTAGGCTGCCCCTGAGGCAGATTCCCTTTGTCACTGTTGGACAGAACTGCACTCCTCCGGGGAGCTTGTTCTTGTTAACAGGACCTGCTTCTGCATGCACTCCGGTTTTACTAAGGATAAGGCTGGTGTATAGCTAGTGTGGAGGCAGGTGCTGGCTCTTTGATGGGACCTGTACTCCACTCTTTAGCTTTCCTTGTCTTGTTCCTGTAGACTCAGCTTCTCTGTTGATCCTTTGACAAGCTTACCAGGGAATGAATCCATCCCCCGCCCCCCAGCAGCCAAGCTACCTCTCTGCATGGTTGTTTCTTACTGCACCATTGGTGCTCAGCCCGGCCCCACTTTGTCTTCTCTGGGCTTTGAAACTCTAGGCTCCTTCAGTTTGGATGTAGATCTCGTCTTTGTCCATAGTTTCCATTCTACATTCCTGCCACCCGCACATAGACACACGCTGCTCTCTGGCATTAACTCCTATTTCCAAAGGCATTGCCCGTTTTGTAACCTAGTTCACCCCCAGGGCTCAGCATGGGGGTCTCATGTACTGAAGAGCAAGTTGCATATTTGTGGAGTGAGAAGCACTAATGCATTTCAGTCAGCATGCACATACAAAGTTACTGCTGGCCCAGTGGAGAGGGGCAACATGAGGGCCTTGGTAGAATGCAGAAGAGCCAGAGATCTGTGGTATGGAAATAGCAGGACTTGGGGACATTTCTTCCTGCCTGTCATTTAAAATTCATCCTTCTAGTGCAAATGTGTATTTGAGTATATTTTCAGTCTTTAGGTGTAAACACTTTTTAGGTTTTGCATTTTACAAGAAATCTTTAAGGAGGTGCTGATGCAGTCTGGGGGCCTTGCTTGGGTCCATGGTCTCTGCCAGTGAAAGAATTAAAAGGCAGGTAGAATCTTGACTGCAGGAGCTAGCATCGGAGAACTCTCAGATACCACGGACAGCAGCATCAGGGGAAGAGAGGCGTTTATTGGGGAAACACAGGCATGCTGCCAACGCAGAGGTAAAGACCCTCTGAAAAGCAGAGGGGGACTCGGGAAGCTGAGAAATTGAGTCTCTTCTTGGGAACTGGGGGTCTTAAACCTCTGACGAGGCTTCCTCCCCTAATCTAGGGCTGGTCAGTTTGAAGAGAGAGAGAGTGGTTGATTGGCCCACAGCCCTTGTGTGACATGTACTGATAGGCCTTGGTCTTGGTTGTGGTCCATCAGCAGGGGGCCTGCTGGTGGGAGACAAAAGCCTACAAGGTCTTTGTTTTAAGCTACCAGGCTTTTCTTTTAACCTGGAGGTTGACTAAGAAGCTGACCATTTTGAAAATTCGCCCCCTTTATTACCTAGCCATGCCCCGCCCCCCATCTGCCTGCCTGCCGGGAATCTGTGCGACTCCTCATTGCTCACAACTTGGCTGCAAGTGTAGTACTAAGCTTTGGGAATACATGTATTGAAGAAGATAGAAAAGCAAATTAATGATTATTGTATTTTATTTCTTTTCATTGCTATGATGAAAAACCTGAGGTAGAATATCATATAAAGGAAAGAGGTTGGTTTAGCTCAGAGTTTTTGATGATTAAAGGCATGATGTTGTCATCTGCTCAGCCCCAGTGAGGCCTTCCTTGGCTACATCTCTTCTTGTCAGGACAGCGGCCTGTGTCACGTTTTAGTACATGCCAGGGAGTGTCCCAGTGGTTGGGCTCGGGTTTTGTATCTCACCCTCCCAGGAGACCACCATTGCCTTTTCCTAGGTCAGTGTTCCCAGCCACTTAAAGACCTCTCATGGGGCCACAGCTCTGAAAATTTTCACTCTTGCCCCTAACATTGCCAGGCTGAGGACCAGGCTCCCAGTAGATGAACCCTGTGTCGACAATCAACATCCAGATGCCAGCAGTTACAGTAGAGAATGCATGGCCAGATAAAGGCATGCAGAGGTGCTCAGAACATGATGGAAGCCATCGGAATCAGGAGTGAAGGGGTAGGATGGGAGGGTAGCAGGATGGGAGGGTGGCAACCAGGTGGACTTCTTGGACAATCCAGCTCGGTAGCTGAAGGAATCATGGTATGTAATATCCGGAAGCAGGTGCAATGTGGGAGAGAAGACATTTGAAAGGGAGGGCGTGTTGGTGTGAAGGAGGAGGCGGCTAGGAAAGCTTGGCATTTAACACGAGCTGCAGGTGTCCTGATCAGCTGTTGGCACTGGGGGACTTTGTGAGATCAGCACAGGATGACACTGGGGTATCAGCAGAGGCTGGTCAGAAGCGCTTTAGGACACAGTGGAAGGAGTTTGCACTTCACACTGCAAGCCCCTTGGCAGGGAAATCCCTTTTAACTGCAGTGAAAGTAGCCTGGAGATGGCATCAGTGTGCAGTTGGACTCTCCAGCTGTGCATCTCCAGATGCTGTGGGCTCTGCTCTTACGTGCAGGGCGTGAGTGGGGCTGCACACAGATGGTGTGAGAGAGTGAGGTCTACCTTAAGCAAGTCTACCACACTGGCTCTGTCCCATCTACTGCTCTGTGACCTCAGCGTGTGTAGTGGACTTGTTCCTGCTGAGAGGAGTAAGCAGAGGGCCCATGTCCCCTCCCCTAGAGCTCTGTAGGTCCGCTCCCTCCCTCCGGCTCTCCTAGGCCCCAAGGGGCTCCTTCACATTCATCTTCCTTTAATCCCCCCAGATTCCAAGTATTGCCTTGTCCTGGCTGTGATATGAGAATGTTTTTCTCCTGTTCCTTCCCAGGAGTCACCTACCCTCTGCTGCCCCTTCCCCAGTGTGAACACTCGTGACAAGTGCTGTGTCAGAGTTTTGGTGGCAGTGTTGGGGATGTCCTGTGAGCTTCTGAGCAGCTGTTTGCATGTCTGTTCTCCTTTATCCGTCTTCATTCTGGGCGCTTGGGCTACCTTCCTTCATTATGCACAGCAATTTACCTCTCAAACATCCTGAGGCTGTGCACCTACCTTGGCAGATTCCATAGCTCATTAACACTTCAGCGAGGGGAGCTGGAGAGAGAGAGAGAGAGAGAGAGAGAGAGAGAGAGAGAGAGAGAGAGAGAGCGAGCGCACTCTGAGATTCCGGCCTTCTCTTTTCCCTCTCCCTCGGAATCTGAGTGAGCTGAGCAGTGGAGGAGGTATTTATTTCCAACCGACACACATTTTCACGTTCCCGGCCTCAGCCACAGGAAAAGATTCGTTCAGTTTTCATTTTACACTTTTTTCTTCTTATACTGTCAGGTGGGTAAAGAGACACGTGAAAGTCTCTGTCAGAATTTCCAAATCCATGGCGCTGTTAGGCAATGAAGAGGTGTGAGGTGACGGATCCACCCAGCTGGCTGGTGTGTGAGCAGGACAGAGCACAAACGCTTCTAGCTCGAACTCGGGAACTAGATCACTGTATTCTGTCTCCTGTCATTCCTAATTTTGTGAATTTAAGTGAGTCACTTAACCTAGAGCTTGTTTCTTATTTGTAAAATAAGAGCAATAATCACACAGGGGTGTGAGGAGACTTAAATGAGGCGAAATGTGACCAGTGTTTCTTGTGTTTGCCACACTGAGGCCCTGGCCAGCCCTTCATTCCTGTGGCAGTTT